GCTTGGTGTTGCACAGTCGTATGCTTAACTTGTTGAAACTCTCCGCCTATCGAGAGCTCAATAATAACCCTGTAGTTATAACAATCCTGATTATTGTCTTCTAATTGCTTTTCTGCTGGAAAAAGTCTCATCTTTGTCTTAATTAATCATACAATTATTCGATTCAACAAAATTATCTAACGTCCCTTTCTTCAGTCCCAATTTTTTGAAATCTTTCAATTTATTTTCTCTGTTTTGATTTATGAGTTTTTATGTGTTTATAATAATTAGAATACACCCACCTTTTCTTTAGATGTCCTAGTGCTACTTATGTATATACAATGGTAGATTACATAAAAAGCAATAGACCTTTGCTTTAAAGTTGTTATTTATTATACTTTGTGTATTTTCTATTGTATTATTTTGTATATTATTTCTAATGTAGCCATCTACGTAATTGTATGGAAACCTCAATACCTTCATTATTATACATATTTAATACATTAATTAGAATCCAATTCTTGATTTTTTTTTAACGACAAATTACTTTTTTTCGTTCAAATCAATATTTACCCTTTCTATGCATAGCCTTTTAGAATTTGGTTCAACACACTCTCCTGTAGGTTCTRATTCAATAACTAAAGTTGATGCACTACTTATTTGTTATGATTTTGGTATCAACTTTTTTTTTTGTAAATATGTTAGCAGATTTATCTCGTTTCAACTGATCACTATAAAAACTAAATACACAAAAAATTAGTTATCTTAATCCAACATGTTGAATTTATCAATATTATTTTTAAATATCCCATAGTACTCRGGGTATTAGGTTTTTTCAATAAGATCTGGAAGTAATTCTGTTGCAAATGTTTCATTATCTAACATGTTAGTTTCTTCCAATTAGGAAAGTATATATTTATTGTTGAATCCATTGAAAATGAAAATTTTTTTATTAGTTCTTAAGGTAATTTTATGTTCAAACATTGTTCAGCCTCTTCAAAAGGATCATGGTGATCAGAATCTTCTGTTTTTTTTTGGAATCAGTGTTATTATTTTCAGTTAGATTATAAATTCCGAGAAAAAAAACAAGCATTATAATTTAGTAACTTGTGCAATATAATTAGTAATTACCATTTTTAAAATGTAATTTACATCAAACAACTAATTTCGGTGACTTGTCGCTGTTATTAGCATCATTTTTTTTTATATTTGTATAATACCCTGTGGCTCCATCAATAGTATAATATGATCTAAGCTCCATACTATCTTTTTTTTTTTTATTGAGCATATTTACATCGACAACAAAGGCCATTAGTTACACTTATTTATACAGTAATTATATAATATAATACATATTGATACAATAGAAAGTTATTAATTTGGATAAAACATTTTTTTTTTTTTTATATATAAGATTGAACAATTTTGTTTTTCTTAAAAAATTAATTATATCTAGGTTTTTATCATGAATAGGTCCGAGTGTGGAGTCGAGGTTGAATGATATT